CATATTCTTCATGATATCTTGAACTATCTTGAACATATTCTGTACTCTAATATTCAGTGGAAATGCTCATTGTATTTACTTGAAAAACATGATGATGTTAACATTTTCATGGTAACTTTTATATATCTACAAGCCATAATAATCATATTTGATTATATTTAGCATTCTGATTTCACTTGATGATAATAATAACGATAATATATAAATATGGTTAATTCTGATAATATTTTTCTTTCCTTACCTGGGCATAAATGTTATCAGGATAATTTCATCTTCTAAGCTTGAATAATAGTCTCAACATATTATTTGTTTGTATCTCTCATCATAACTGTTCATGATGTTGTTTCCATGATAATTCAGTATATATATATATGTATATCTTGCATCAATACTATTACTTTATTATTATCATGAAAATGCCAAAAGGTATTCAGGTTGTTTTTGATTAAATATCCAGGTAAACTTGTTAACTGTTTATTATTACATGTTATTCTGGCTGATTTTATCTCTTTAATTATCTTAATTGAGTTGATCATTGATCATGGATACAAATGAAAATTGATAAATCTCAGATTCTCATTTACATTAAAACGTTTTTGATTCAATTTCCACCTTGGAAAAATATCTAATTTAATTCATATTCCCTTTTGTGAATTTGAATTTGGTTTTCTTTTTCTTTCTTGGTTATGTGGTAACATTAAATGATGAATTTCTGAATAAGATGAGCTGAATACCAAATACGTAAAATCATGATAATATTGATGTCATGTTGATGAATTATGATTATCATGTATTCAGACAATGAGTCACTTGAGAATTGATTTTCAAGGTATAATCCCATTTACAGAATCAGTAAATCACATTATCTATTACATTATCTTTTCATGGCCTTTTTTTTATATTCAAAAGTTATTCCGATGATATTATGATATAAATACTAAATCGTACCTTGACCTGGATTTTTTCCCCTTTCAGTTTTCACATGAAAACAATAATTTTCTGATATTTTCACTGTTGACAACAATCCAAATGATTACCCTTAAGGTGAATCAACTTCACATGTTGAACATATTCAAGTTTCTCATGAAAATTATTTCAAGGGAAAACTAATCAGATCATTCACCTTTTACTACTAAATTAAACATCATGAATTTCATTCATTTTCCAATTTGCCTTGGAATCGGTTTTGGGACACAACTGATCATCACTTTAACATTTCTGTTGCATGTTTGTTTATCATGAAAAAATAGAAATTGGATTCAAGAAAAAAAAACTTCAATTTGAAAATTTCAATATTCTTATGATTGTTTGTTGGTGACACGTAGTTAAGAACCGAAAGTAAAGTCGATGAAACAATCGACTTGGTAAGAGAGAGAGAGAGAGAAACTTTGTCAGAATTTTCAAGTAGAATAATATTTTTATTCATTTTTGCCATGAACTCCATGCAAGTTTAATCTTTTCCATATCAAAAATAGTCAAGAAAATATCATTATCCCGATTGATAACAATACGAAAATTTTAGTAACTTTTTTTCACGAAATTATTAATGTGCTGTGAGGTAAATGAATTCCAGAACTTTTCGATTTTTTTTCTCGAAAACAAATCAGTTTTATGCAATTAGCTAACGAACTGTGGATTACTATGATTTAGCTCGATAAATCTAATGCTGAGATTGTCTTTTCACCAAGTTTATTCATTCAGGTTACCATGTAATTCAGTGTCTTAACTGTTCCATGGTAATCTATTTATCATTTTATTCCCTCAAGCTTTTCCATTATATATTGTCGTATACAATGAGACCTTAATATTGAATCTTTAACATGATATCATGTTCACAATCAGTTTTTCATCATCTTCCCTCCTACTGATTTCCTACCCTTAGGCTATAACACAGACTATTGATTCGTCATCACTATTGATATTGTTGTGATTATTGTTGTTGCTATCAAGTTAAACAAATCAATAAGATATAACCTGATCAAAGTTTTAGCTGATTATGTAGTGTTAGAGTTAACACTTACCCATTCAAGGCCCAGCATTTTATTTTATGACCTTCATGAGATCTGATTATAATTCAGTTGATCATTATACCTTTTTCAGTGAAAATTATATAATCCAATTGAGAGTTGATGATGACTATTGTTGATGGTAAATATTAATAGTACCATGATTATTTTCATCTCTTGTAAGTTTCATCGTGAAAAAAAGTCATAGGAATTTCAAACAATATTCAATTCTTATGAGTCTATAAACTATCAAAAAGTTATCATGAAATTACATGTAATCGTATCTATTTACTATTATCTGTGGTTCTAAAGCTAAATTGCTGTTGGTAGATGATTAAAGTTGAATTAACACTTTGATTGCTGTGAACAATTGGTTTTAGATCATTTAGAACTGAATTTCCCATGAGACAGATATTTCCCTGAACCAGGATTGTTGATGAATGAACTTTTTCCTCTTCTCTTATTTTTGAAATGATAGAAAGTTTGACAAAATTTTGCTCAACAATAATATTTATAAAAAGTGAGATTTATCAATCATGTTGAATGATTTAGTTAATCAATTTTTCAAGCGTTTAATTTAGCAAATCCAAGATGATTGTTAAATCAAAAACCTAAACTCAATCTCAATTTCTGAGTAATAATAATGATGAAAATTACCATGAAAAGCTCATTTATATTCATAGTTATCAATTTGTTTTCCCAACTCCATCCATGACAGAGCAAATTATCATTACTTTTTTCACTTTTCAGCCTAATGCTCATGAACATTATACTATCAATATAATCATTTCAGCATCGAAACTTTTAAACTTTTATCAAGTTTTATCGAGAAATTATTTTCAAATTCAGATATTACCTTGCTTAAGAAATAATGTCTCGCAATTAATCATTTTCACCGAATGTTAGTTTAGTCATAAAAATCCACCTTACGAAGTTACTTGTTAGTCAAATTTTCGCAATGGGCCATTCATATGTTGTCCTCCATTCTTGCTGCGATTAACTCAATCATGGTTATATTAACAATCAAAATTCATCTTAAACTGTTTCGTGAAGAAAAGTTTGCTGTTCAGTTGAATAATCTTAAGGTATTTTTCACTGATAATCATCAACATTAACTTCATCTTCTAATCTTCATGAGTCTTCTGTTTTCTTACTCATGTAAGAAATCTGATTACATTCTGAAAAAAAAACATGATTGGTGCTCGTCAATCAAACTAGGTGATTATGATGAGAACAACTCATAAAAGATTAGCAACATTTGCTACAAGGTATCATCATCATCATCTTACTTATCATCCATTTTTCTCAGTGTACAATAGCTTCCATACTTACTCAGGAAATAATATCATCCTCCTTGTTTCTTCATCATCACTCTGCCTTAACACCTTTTCTTTTCTCAATTTATCCTCTCTTTTTATCTTCCTTTTATCTTCTCCATCCTTGTATTAGGATATTATTGTTCAATCTAATCCTTTTTATCAGTATTTTCCTGTAATAATTACTTCCCACCATGAGCCAGGATTTTCACTCCCTGGTGATCCCTTTTCTTGACAATATATTATCTTAGTCAAAATATTCGTGTACCTTTAATAATTAGTTAGATTGTTACTGTTTTTATCGTGATTGCGATTGTAATTACCGAGTATCTTTATTTATTATGCTTGAATTTTATATAAATCTCCTCATTGAGTAACTATCTTTATCCGTTTGGACAATCAAATTGGATTATATAACAAGCATAATTGTGTTAATGTAAATCTAATGATTCTGATAAAAAGCAATCAAATTAATTTGATAACAATAAAACTGTACAATCAAATGATTTTAATCAACTTTAACCCTTCACCTCAATGAATTGATTACAATTGAAGTTAATCACAAACTAAAAGCTTGAAAGATAATCAAAGGTATTAATTGCTACTCAATCTTCATTAAAGTAAATTAAACCTTTTCTTCAACAAAGCTGAAATCAATCCCAATGAATGACCAATATTCTTGATTAGGTTTTAATTAACCTTTGATGGTTATTTTTTTTTACTCCAATTGTTTCAACTTTAATCAACTCCATCATGTTGAATTAATCTTGCAAGTAATAACAATTAAGAGGAATCACCAGACTATTGGAAACAATAACAATAAAAGTTGAAACTGATGCGATAACATTGAGATAAATTTAAGAAATTGAAATGGAACCAGGAAGTTGAATAGAGACACAAACAAAAAGTACAGTTAGATATTAACAAGAAGATGAAAAATAGTATATGAGTAAAATATGATATATGTAAGTGATCATTCAACTGGAATGTTTCATATTCTTGAAGAGGGATCATGAAGTATGAACATGAGAAGAAGGGAAAATGATGGCGGTGGGAAGTTAACTATTTCCACTCTAAACTGAGCCTGATATTTAAACCACTATTTGTCGATCTCTCTGTCTCTGTCTCTCTCTCTCAGAAGGTATTACGAGTCATTAATATTGAGATTCTGAAAGAGTCATCAATCCTTGACCCTTGATGACTTGGAATGTGTCTCCATCAGCAAGAAGATGGAGAAAAACAAAAAATAAAACACAAACTGAATGACGATGATAATGGTTTTGATGATGAAAGATGAAGATGCTGATATAATGGGAATGATAATACAACCTTAGCAAGAGAGATAAACATTTATGTGGTTTACCCAAAATATTTCAACATCCTCATCTTCATCCTCATCATTATCTTAACCATTTATCCTTAGACTCAAGACTCTTTCTAATATTTCATCAAATTCCAAGGGGTTTCCTATTCTGTAAAATTGTATATCGGTCATTACATTTTTGTCGAAGGGACAATTTTCACCATCGTTTACTATTTAGGTTAATCTGATGGGGGAATTTCTTTTTTTTTCTCTTCTTAATCATGTTTTTATTCAGTCAAAAAGTTATCATGAAACTGCGAAAAACTATTAGAATCTGATCAATTTTATCTTTCTCGTCTTATTCCTATCAAATAGATCACCTAAAAATGCTAAACAACGATTAATCAAACGGATAATTGCTCTGGAAGGTGAATGGATTCAGTAAGTAATTTAGATGATAAAAAAATATACCAATGATTAAGTATCAGGTTTGTTGATTGTTGACAATTTGTTCAAACAATTTATCGCTCTGGAATCAACTGATGATTACCTTTTGGATATTATATCACTATTATTGTATCTTATTGACATTGATCATTAATTTAATCATGTTTATCATTTATATCATTACAAGGAGATTATTACAATCGTCTCTCTCTCTCTCTCTCACATTCACTGTTCCTTATTATCATGATTACATGGTGGTTATCAACTCTCTATACATTGAACTCAATTCAATGGCTTGTGATTAGTTTGAAGGATAATAACATGTAAGTCATTTGGTTTACTTTAAACAAAGACTCTGAGAGAGAGAGAGAGAGAAACATTTTCATCTAGAAAAGATCCACCATGTAACCATGATGATGACGGGATGAGAAATATATCAATGAGAAGCAGAAGAAAAGTTCTGATCAGATTCAGAACACCAAGTTGGACTTTTTTTTCTTCTTAAGAACCTTATTCTTTTTTTTTCATTCTCTTTCATTTCTTTATATCATTTACTTCCGAGTCTTCCTATTGTGTTTTATATCCTTCTCATTTATCTTACCCATGTAGCTTTACATGATGAACTTTATTCAGCTTCTTATTTCTAACTAATAGCTTCTAATCATCATCATCTTCTTGATCATCACTTAATCATCCCTTGAGTAACAAAGCAAACACTGATATTAAACCGAGAGACAGTTAAATATCAGATTCCATGTTTAGTTAATTGCTTCCTATTAACTTGAATTGTATTTCCCATGGAAATATATTTAAATTCAACTAAATTTCAAGAGACTAACTTTTCTAAACAAATCAATCAAAGATTTTCAAACTTCCATTGTATTATTTTCATTAATTCAGAGTGTTAAATTCATGATGAACACGATAAATTTACATCATGACTAAGAGACGAGTCAATGATAAAGTATTGAATTGTAAGATTTTGTATTGTAGGGTGAATTTATTTGCTGAAATGTTATTACAATGATAATAATGATCAACATAAAAATAAATGTAATAACAATAATTTAACTATCAAATGACATATTGAATTGTACACATTCAGTGATTTCTGTGACATGAAGTGAATACCCACTTTGCAATATGATAACTTTCAACGGTGGGAGGATGAAAGAAATGAAAAGCTCAATAGATGAAACTTATAATCATGGTAATAGTAGTAAAAGCAAACCCATGATAACAATAATAATCATAATTTCAGATCAGAATATTGGTTTTCGCTTCGTCAACCACATGAAAAGCCAAATATCAGAATGTTTTTTATTCGTGATGCTCTGTTGACTTTTTTCGATGTCGAATTTACTTTTATTCCCTGATTTTCCAATCTCCCTCTCTCTCTCTCTCTCTCTGATTCTCTCTCTGATTCTCTCTCTGATTCTCTCTCGTTCTCTCTCAATAGAATCATTTTCTTTCACCTTTTCACCTTTCTCTTGTTTTTGAATCTCTTTGTTTCCGTTTCCATTTCTATTCTCATGTAAATTGTCTCATGAAAAACCTCATCAATCCATTGGAATTTTAATCAATACTTGGAACAGTAGATTGACCATCATGTGCAAAGGATAATTTAAACTGTTCCTCGTCCCCTGTAGTGTAAAATTGATCGTTTAAAATTGTTGATCCAATTGGATTACAATTGTAGTTTCACTGATTGATCAGATAAAAAAAAATTTAGTCGTTGGAACTTTTTTTTTGTTTCATTTTCCTTGTATTTTTCATCATGATAATTATCTTGAATCACGTATTGGATAATATCATCAGGAATACATGGTGAGATGGACATTCATTGAATCTACCATCGGAATACTGATGTCTTGTTCAATTTCAATTGTTGAAAAATAACTGACCATCACTGACCCATAGACTTAAATTGGTTGACGAGGAAAAAAAAAGTTTGACAATTTCCTCCATTAAACATACAACTTGATGGCTTAAAAAACATCAATTGACTTGAGAATTGACAACTTAAAATGATTGACAATTTAGCTGATTACCTTGTGTCAAAATTTAAATAAATGATTAACCTAAATCATTGTTAGGAAAAATAATGTAATATAAATCAACCTGACAGGTAACAATCAAAATATATTATAAACTGTTATTTGTAATTAATTGTTACTTTTTACTAATATTACTTATAAGTGTCAACATTTGTCACTTGTGATTTAGTTTAATTGTTGTCAAAAAATTGTCATAAAAACTTTGATAGCAATTGATTAACAATTTGTTAATATTATTCCAACTCAAGTCAATTAAAATGATTCAAATTATGATAACAATTTAAATTCAGTTAATATTATTATGCTGATTCTTGTTAAAGTTTCTGTTTAATTTTGATTAGTTTTTTTTTGTTCAATTTTGATTGTTGATTTTCAAATGTTTACCTTGATAATTGTTTTTCCTTTCAATGATTCTAATCAAGATAATTGTTGAAATTTTCCTCTGTTACTCTGGTTTCTGTTATTTTTCATGATTTGATAATGAAAATGCAAATTTTATGCAAATTTTATATATACAATTTGTAAAAATAACATAATAATAATAATAAAGTTACATGAGTTTCACAATGATAATAATAATGATACACTTTGTGATCAACTGATATCCATTTGTGTTGTTATTGTAATCATCTTGTATTCAGATTTGAGATCTTGAGAATCCTGATCATTAGCCATGAGATGATTCTGATGTATATTTGAACAAGATTCAATCTCTTACCTATTGGATATTTATAAGTAGGTGATTTCATCGTTGGTTAGTTTTGAAATTGTAAACAGGATAAGCAAAGTGTTTTATTTGTATTCCTCGAATTGGTATCATCATTTGAAAAGAATGAGAAGAAAAAGAAAAAGATAAAGTGAATGGATAAGGTGAGATGGTCAACGATTGAATAAAATGATCAAATTGACCATCGATTAAAATGTAAACACAACCAAACAATATAATCTAATGGAGTTTTATGATTCCTTTTAGAGTTTTATTTATCTTCGAAGGTGATGAGAAACTTTTCTCATCTCATCAATATTAATTTGCGAAACTGTGAATTTACGATTGATTCTGAATGAATAATTAACCAGTGACATCGATAAACTATAATATCATAGAACTGAGATGATATTATCACTGAAAATTCTGATCTTCTCAAAGTTTAGGTGTTTCGACTGATCGTTTCCTCCCTTTTCTGAAATTTTGTTCATTATTTCACCTTCTTCTCATGATACTGATAATATTAATTGATATACTTGCTCAACACTCCCCAAAAAAACCCACCACCTCCCACTGATCGTGTTAACAATTATCTACATTGATATTATCATCATCATTATCAGCATCATTTATCCTCTTTCTTGTCATTCTTCATCATCTTTTTTTCCTCATCTATTGTCTACATTTTTTTAATCTCTATCTTTTTCCTCTGAACAAAACATCATGAGATGATAATAATAACATACACCCACCGGTGGATGGATCAAGAGGAAGTGTAAAACTTTTGACTTGATTGTTTTCTGTCCTTTTATCCATCAACATGATAACCCCCACAACGAACAACAATATACACACATACACACACCTTCAAAATCTCTCCATTCCATGAAGATGAAAAAAGAACAAAAAAAAATCGAAAGATAAAAAGAAAGTAAATGAAGTATCATCTTCTTTTTTACCTCATCTTTGCTTCTTAAGTTTTTTCTTCTCATCTCATCGAAAGGATTTACTTTCATTGTTCAGTATTAATACTAGACTCTTTTTTTCCAACAGATTAACCTGAAGATTAGAGTTTATTTTCCCTCCCAATCCCAAATTCTACTCCATCATCTTGATCATCACTAATTCACCTTCCATATTGATTATTGTTATAAAACTTTTCCCTCCCAAGTTCTCATTAATATCAAATGATAAGTTAAACGATTCCAATCAGAATATTAAACAACATATCGAATAGACTGGAAAACTTTTCTTCATTATTATCATTAGTTCATAAAGAGAAAAAGATTCCAGAGTTTTAAGTTTCCTGATTGTGTTTCTGTTTTTCATTTCATTTCATTTCCCATTGAGACTTTTTTTTTCTGTATCAACTTCCATGAAACATCATACCCACCCCACCACAAATATCATGTGTATGTCTCCATGTGTGTGCTTAAGCATATCCACTTAACCCACTAATCGTTAAAGTAAATACCAATGTTACATTATTTACACTTGGATACATAAATATCTTTGAAAATACTTCAAATATGATATTAAATGTAAAATGATTTAATCCAGTTTAATGACTATCAATAAAGAAAACAATTAACAATTTTCCATCTATAAGTTTACATGTAATATCTGACTGTCTATTCGTGTATATCTAGTGATTAATATCATGGGAATAAGGAAAATCTGTAAAATGAGATTACCTTAGATTAAGATTTTCAGGTTATTTTGATTATCACAATTACACAACGATTACCATTTGATTATCACATTTATCTTGTTCTTTTCCTCTTTGCAATACATTTAATCATCATTAATACTCCTTAATCCCTCATGATACAATATATAATATGTATTTAACTACTAAACTGCTTTTTGTTTTATTATTATTATTATATTATTTCAACGATGAATCTTTTACCCTGAATTCATGGAAATGCCTTTATATTTGTCTCAACCTGATTACGAGTTGTAATGTTAATCCCTTTTGCCTTTATTTTTCTGGGTTAATCTTTATGTCTTTCTAATATCAGCCCAGTTCACCTTTACCACCCTGACAATGTTAATCAATTTCAGTTTGACAGTTACACTCATTGGATTTAAATTAATGCTTTTCCATTGATATTAACATGATGATATTATTTCAATTGTTCTCAATTTGTATTCACATTGAGATTAACCAATTTGGTTGAAACAATAAAAACAAACTCCGTATGAATATCAGATTGATTTTAATCACTTTTATTCCGGACAATTAAGATTACTTTGAATGGAAAGATAATTACAATTCGATATATTGTTCGTTTGTTTAAGTTTTTCTGTTCTCTTTTCATCTCGAAAGCTCGAAGGTAAAATAAGTTCTAATGGTGATAAATTTCCATTCTCTACCATGGATAATGTGAATTCTTTGTCCATGTTGAATATAAATCTATGTTTGTATCGAATTGAATGTTGAACATTAAAAGATATTTCATATTTTTCCTTCTCTGAATTTTCTTATGCAATTACGATTTTCTCTTTGTTTTCTCTTCCTTTTTTTCGTTCAATAGATTCTCTCTCTCCTGTCAAAGAATCAACTTGGAATCATCTCTTTTGGGAGTTCGAGAAGTTCTTATAGATATCAATTCTTTTTTCCTCTCTTTCTTACCTCAACTATTTTCTAACTGTTTATGAGTTTGATTCTTTATCTTCTCATGTGTATACTGAACTTTTACCACTAAATCTCGTGATATATTGAACTTTGTCCAAACATTTTGTACTTTATCATGTAATGTTTTCATCAGAACTTTTCTCCCAGTTAAAAGGAGAAACTTGTCACATAGGAAAAAGAAATCGAATTTTTCTTCTCTCTCTCTCTCTCCTTCTTTTCTCACCTTGATGAGGTTTTTTTATCTTCTTCTTCTCCTCCTCATCTTCCTTTGTGGTTTTGTTACCATCACCTACTATCTAATATCACCAATAGGTAAAGTTATCAACTCACAATGTGATTGATAAACTTTTTCCTTTCATGGTGGTTGATAAGAAATTCAGAATTCATTGATAAGTCTCCATGTTTTTTTCCTCTCTCAGGTAGGAAATGACTTCTTTTTCTTCCCATCTAATTGTAAACATCTTCTTGTCATCATGTGTTTTATATGATGAAATATTGATCTCTATGAATTTGAAAGAAATCAACATTGTTCACATTTAGAATTCATATTTTCAATGTTTTCCATGAAAACTTATCATGAATTCTGATTCTCTTTCATATATAAACTCTCATATTATATGTTATTCTATCACGAAGATTATGAAATATTCATCATTCATCTTTAAACAAAGTTCAATGTGTAAATCGATTGAATCAGTTGCTTCCTATGGAAGTCATTAGTTTCCATCTTTTGATATTACAGATTCGATCTTTGAATATTATTATTGAAACTCGAAAGAAAAAAAAAGTTTTCTTTTTCTACTCAATTTCATCTCGAAGGCCAATTAATCTATTGATTAATTTCTTCTCCTATTTATGATAATTGATTATCTTTCTCAATAATGTGTCGATCCTTTAATCGATATCTTCTTACTTACTGGCAACGTTTAAACGAATCGATTATCGAACTTTTCCTTCAAATTCGATAAAATGTAAAGGAAAACAATTTCGACACCAATCAAAACTTTAACTTTAAGTAAAAACTTATCTTCCAATCTCATCATTAAACTATTATCATGATGATTATCGTGATCGTGGTGATCATTATCATCATTTCCAATCGAAATTGAAAAGTTTCATCGATATAATATAAAAGATTAGATCCAAGTCCTTGTCAAAATTGGAAATAAAAAAGTTCTGAACTTTTTTCTTCTCTCTCTCTCTCTCTCTCTCTCTCTACTATTATCCCTCCATGAATTTTATCCTTACCTGTCAATGATAAAAGTGGGTGATAAAATAAATGGTTCAACAACAACATGAGAACTTGAAATGTTAAATATAAATTCAATCGTTATCATGAAATGACATAAACTCAAGAGTTGAAAGTTGTATCAAAAATTTCTCGAGTTCTAATGCGTTCTAAGGTTTTCGATTCTTATTGTAATTTTCATTATGAGTAAAAGATTTTCTAACTTTCTCTCTGGCAAATCATTTACTCTCTTTTCATCGATATAAATAGTCACCCTTTTTTTTGAAGCTTCTATGGCGGAGAAGGTTATTTTCATGATGGAATGAGAAATGAAAAAAAATTCTGAGAAAGAGATTGAAATAAATCGGAAAAAAATGATTCTGACATGAAATTTTCTCTTTTTTTGTAATACTATTTTCCCAATAAGATTGATGTATATTTGCCATTGGTTTCAATTCAGTTCATCGCTAATGTCACTCATGTTTCCCTCTCCCTTTTCATTTTCACTTACACAGTTTCAATATATGAAAAAAACCCACTCCCACTTTTCCACCTTCCAATTTGACTCTCAGCTCTTTTCAATGGGCTATCTCAATATTACCTTTTTTGCTCTTGTTTATCTTTTTATCTCTTTCTCCCTCATAGTATCTCAACTCTCTCTCTCTCTCTCTCTCTTGATGTGGTCAATATTGTTCAAACTGTGATTGTCCATGTCAATCTGATACCAGCTTAACAGTTAACTTTCCACCCCCGCAACTCTCAAAGGGAAGGTAATAAATCTTTGAAACTGACCAATGGATAGTTTCAGATCCAATGGTCTATCTAACTGAGTATCTTTATGTTGATCAAACTTTTTTGATTGATTTTCCAATGTAACTTTTCAATGGACTCAATTTATGAGCCCATCTCATTTGCCCCTTTCCACCTTGGCAAATTTCCCATGTTGAGTGTGTGTATGATTAATAAAAATTATACTAATCAAATTAACCACAATTATTGTTGATTGTGTGTTGATTTATGTTGATTGTTTTCCTTTTGGTTTTCCTGAAATGATTATCCAACTTTTTTTCATTTAACTAATTTTTACTTTTACAATTCAATTTGATTAGTTATACAATTAATTTTTTCCCCCGTACCTTTAGCTGTCAACTAATCCAATTAACTATTTTTAGTCTATTACTAATTAGTGTGAAGATCTTTAATTAATACAATCTCAGGAGAGATCAAAGTTTACATACAATTAATAATTCAATGAGTTCTCATGTTTAACTTTTTGTAAATCAGTAAACTAATTAAATTGTTAAAATCCTTTGATAATTAAAATGAGATCATTCCAATTGTAATGAGATAACTTTACCTGTGATTGATTTGCTGGTTGATGTAAATCAGTGTCTAATTAAAGTTGATTGATTGTTTCAACTTGACAATCGATTGATATTAATGATACTAATTATTGGAAATTTTTTCTTTCCATTTCGTTCATAGGCCTCGATCGGCTTATCAAGACGAACTTGTCTTCGTGCCTAAAGGTCATTGCTGGATTGAAGGAGATAATCATGCACGAAGTAATGACAGTAATCATTTCGGTGTGGTAAGTTAATTATGATCGAAATTAATTTAATTGTTGGATAAGTTTTAATTTAAGGAAAAAAATTCTCTCATCATTTTGTTCATTTAAAAGGTTCCAATTGGTTTAACTCGTGGTATTATTTCATACATCATTTGGCCGCCGTCAAGATGGTCATCAGTTGACAGTTCGTTAACAATTGAAACAATTAAACGAAGATCAACCGACGGGCTAATGGTTTAATTTAATTGACAAGGAAAAATTTAAATTAAAGTTTAGTTAATTTTCAAAGTTTCCTAAAAACGCTGCCATCTCTTGGTGAAGAATAGAACAAGAGAAAAAAATCTAATTAATCAACTAAATTAATTATTTAAACAATTATTTCAAAACTACAAATGTAAATGAAAAAAAAATTAAATTCTGTAAATTGATTGACAATAACCTAAAACCACAACAATTAACCAAATTGAATCGAAATACAAAAAGAGAGAGAAAAGAATCAAAAATCAATCCACTATACAGTTAAATGTTCTAATACACTAAAACAAATTCAAATTACAGAGGTGGACACACTTAGAGTTTTTATTATTGTTTTTGCCCTATAGGCGATTAGAGAGGCTTATAAGGCGCCTCTCTTGAACCTTTACAATTTTTGTTACATTTTCATTATTTTTGAGGGTTTACAGTTTTTCAGATGGGTACCCAAGCCAGGATTGAACCTGTGTCATCGTGGACTAGAATCCACGACACTAACCTCTCGGCCAGAAACTTAGAGCAACTACGTTTTCACAGTCTCCCCCTAGTGGATTAATTAGATTAGTATTGGATTAACCTACGAGATTAGTTCACAAAGAGATTAACCCTTTTAGTTATGTAGGTGGCGCTTTTCTTGCTCTAAGTGTAGTTGCTCTAAGTTCCTGATAAACTTTAATTTAATTAACTTTACCTGTGAATTTAAAATTAAATTTTGTGTTATTATTGTTCATCTTATCATACGGACCAAGTTGATACCAAAATTAAAGGTAAAAAACTGAACTCTTTCAGCTTTATTTATTATTATTTTTGGGGCGTAAGCCATACACTATACTGATATACACTTCCGGTTTACCACATTTTCCATTTAGACAATTTCCTATGATCACCCTTTCGTGCTGTCTTCTTGCTTAACACAAATTAATAATAATAATAATCTTCTCTTTTTCTTTTGTATTGCATTTTGAACTGGCCGATGAGGAACAATTGGATTCTAGACTCACTGATTAATACTCATTTGTTATGGACCGTTTCAGCAAGCCTCCGAGGAATATGTTAAATTTTAACTGACATACAAAACTAATAATTTCGTTACTTTATTATAAATATTAATAATCTATTGTTATTATATTCCTTTGAATTTAAATCTCCTCATCCCCCATTCCCTCAAAAGAGTTGTACTCACTCTTGGTACTATCTTTTAAGATAGTAGAGCCTTCGGAGGCTTGCTGTAAAGGCTATCAAATAATAATAAGTGTGTCCACCTCTGTAGTTCAATCAACTAATCAAAAACAATTAAGAATCCTAAGAAAATACAATTAACAGAAAGAAATTAAAATTAATTTTCTTAATAGAAACAAAATTTAAAGTGAATTACAATTCCACCGAAAAAATCGATAGATGGAGTAACTGTTGAGATCATATGTTCTCTTTTTGAATTTGATTGGATTCAAAGAGTAGAGAGAAAGAGACAGCACATAATTTATTTACCCATATATAAAAAATACATATAGTGAAGAGAGCAGAGCCCTCTAAGCAAACTTGAATGAATGCTTCCCGTATATTTTTAAATTGGTTAAGGTTACAATTAATAATTTATGGTGATTTATATTATATTAACAATTGAGTGGAGAACATAATAGAATAATAATGATAATTTATAAATAATTTAAAAAATCTAAGTATTAATATTAAAATTAACAGAAAAACTATCAGGCAACATTTTTTTTGGTGTCGCGAGGTAGAGCCACTAGTAGATTTGAAAAGAAAGAGAGAAAGAAAGAGAAACATAGTAAACTCAATGCAGAACTCAAATCTCATTGTTTTTAATGATTTTAACAATTTTTATAAATTAATTAAGTTGATTCTTAATGGTTTTATGCTCATCGTCTACAATTTAAGGATACTGATCGGTTAATTGTTACTCGAGTCTTGGACAATAAAGTTTTTTTAAAATCGAATCGTCGAATATTGTTAGACCAATCACACACGTTCAATGCCCATCGACTATTTCTTTATAAACCTAACCTAAGGGTAAAGTTGGGTCACTTCTCTAACGACTCTTGAGTTTAACTTTATCCTTACCTCCTGAGTTTTTTAGGTCATACATTGTACCCTTAACAATAAACCACTTTTCCCATTTACAACCCCATTGAGTTCTCGTTGGGTTAGTTTACCCTTCAACCTTTATTTTTACGATCGGTAACAATAATCAGCCCGAAAGTCTTAAACGCACTTTTCTAGGAAATATCTGTTTCGTTTATGATTTAATTCAACTTAATCGAATTAATTAGGGAATTCTTAAACAAATCTTATAAATCAGACCTTTAAGATCACTTCAAATCAGAGCTAATATGTTCCGTTCAATTGATATATTATCTCAGTATAAATGTAGTGTATACTTAAGAATGAACAAAAGTAAATAAAACCACACATAACTTATGAAATTCGAGAAATTGCCTAACTGTAGAACTTATTAAGACTCAATTAATTTATAAAAATTGTTAAAATCATTAAAAACAATTAGATTTGAGTTCTGCATTGAGTTTACTATGTTTCTCTTTCTTTTCTCTCTTTCTTTTCAAATCTACTAGTGGCTCTACCTCGCGACACCAAAAAAAATGTTGCCTGATAGTTTTGCCTTCCTGTGCTCTCTCTTGGTTTTTACCAAAGAGTAAAGAAGAAGAGACTTCAGCTCTACGAGGAAAAGAGAAGTTAAACATTTGATCAGATGGCGCTGATTGCACTTTTTCAATGGGAAAGAGAAGAGAAACTGAGGACGATGTGAAAAATTGGACTTTACAATTAAGAATTTAGATTTTCATTTGTACCGCCACTAATGACGAGTCCAAATATATATATTTCTTCTGATCTGATTAGTAGTTTTCGAGAAAATTTGTTCGAAGTTAAACTTACAATAATTTTCTCAGCAACAACGCGTTTTCAGGTCATGAAATTTCAAATTTAGATCAAATTTTGATGTTCTTTCAGAAAATATTTATTAAAATAACATTAAAGTATTGATACTGGGACTAATCAAGGTTCATTTGTTACAATACACGGAACTGTGGCCGAGGCTCTTGAGATAATTTTCAAGAAAATATGCTTGATAAAAGAGCATCAAAAGTTGTCATTCAATTTAAAATTTCATGACCTGAAAACGCGTTGTTGCTGAGAAAAATTGACCTTAAGTTTTAACTTCGAACTCGATTTTCTCGAAAACTACTAATCAGATCAGAAAGAAATATGTATATTTGGACTCGTCATTAGTGACCCTACAAATACACAAAGTCTCAACTCTTAATTAAAAAGTCCACTTTTTACACATCGTCCTCAATTTCTCTTCTCTTTTCCCATTGAAAAAGTGCAATCAGCGCCATCTGATCCAAATGTTTTAACTACAACTCCATCATCATTAACTGATCTCTCTTTCTCCTTACTCTTTGGTTTTTACTCTTTGATTGGATTGAATTGTTATTATGTGTTCATTGAAAAAGGTTCAATTTTAATTTTCCTAATTAATTATTTATTTTTTCATCTCTTTTTGATTAATTAACTTCAAAGCTATTAATTAAATGATCAACTGTTTGCTCTTTGTTTTTATCTAAAGTAATATGTTCGTTTAAGCCTTTTTGTTCCAATCAACAAGCAACATTACAATTCTATTCTTGTTTAATACAAAATCTTCTTTTCCTTGTGTTTTCTATTCTTTTTTCGTCCAAATTTTTAAATCTCTTTCTGTTTTTCGCTCTCTTCGTCCGATGTGAACATTTCGAAACCAGTGCCTAAAATTAAACTCATTCTAAAAACTTCATTCATTTCCATATTTATGGTTTTGAATTGATCTACAAATTAAGAGAGTTATTTTGAATAATCATATCATAAATGGTTGGCTACGATCCGAAACGCAGCTCACAATTCACCAGCTTGGATTATACTTTGGCTGGTGCGATTTCGGGATTTATTACCCGAGCTTTATTTCAACCTTTCGATGTGGTAAAGATTAGATTCCAATTGCAAGTTGAACCAATTTCAAGCAAAGCAGCAAACTCAAAGTACAAAAGTATAAGTCAATGTGTCCAAAGTATCGTCCGTGAGGAAGGAATCAGATCACTTTGGAAAGGTCATGTGCCTGCTCAATATTTATCAATAGTCTATGGGGAGCTCAATTTTGGAGCTATGAACTTGCAACCAAAGCCGTTTACTCATCGGAATCATTTGCCATGACTGATAAATTTTGGATAAATTTTGGCTGTGGAGCTTTTGCCGGTGGTGTGGCTTCTGCAGCTTCCTTACCTTTCGATGTAATCAGAACTCATCTTGTCGCTCAAGGACAGAACAAAGTCATTCAAAATTTTCGATCTTCTTTCTCTTTTATCTACTCATTCAATGGACTACGGACTTTCTACCGAGGACTCACACCATCGTTAATACAAATTCTACCTCACACCGGATTCCAATTTGCCTTTAATCGACTTGCCAATCATATTTGGTGCTCATTTATACCTTCATCCACCGTCAACTCACCCACTGCCATTCAAAGTTTCCTCTGTGGTGGTGCAGCCGGTACCATAGCTAAATGTCTAATCTATCCACTTGATCTGGTCAAAAAGCGTCTCCAAATTCAAGGTTTCAGTCAACTTCGTCAGAATTTTGGAGTCACTCCTTCATACAAGGGTTTCTTTAATTGTTTCATTGTGATCGTCAAAACTGAATCGCTCATTGGCCTATTCAAAGGTCTAACTCCAAGCCTCGCAAAAGCCTTTGTAACAACAGCCTCACATTTCCTATTTTACGATCAAAGTCTAAAAGCCATATTACTATTTAAATCATATTAATACTTGAATAGTTTATTTATCTTTCACAATTTAAATTATTAATAAGAAGTCAACTTCCACCATCAACTTAATGAGATTAATCTAAATACTTTCACTTGTAAACATTTCTAATTGTTAAAATTTTAACCATTAAACACTTTTTAATCAAACTTTTAAACAAACCAATTTAGGAAAGAGATGACAAGAAATTTCTTTAACTCGTACATCATTTGATCGCCATTAAGTTCAACAATTAACCAAATTGAATCCAAATACAAAAGAGAGAGAGAGAGAGAGAAAAGAATCAAAAATCAATCAATCTATCAAGTTAAATGTTCTAATACACTAAAACAAATTCCAATTAGTTCAATCAACTAATCAAAAACAATTAAGAATCCTAAGAAAAGACAATTAACAGAAAGAAATTAAAATTAATTTTCTTAATAGAAAATAAATTTAAAGTGAATTACAATTCCACCGAAAAAACCGATAGATGGAGTAACTGTTGAGATCATATGTTCTCTTTTTGAATTTGATTGGATTGAATTGTTATTATGTGTTCATTGAAAAAGGTTCAATTTTACTTTTCCTAATTAATTATTTATTTTTTCATCTCTTTTTGATTAATTAACTTCAAAGCGATTAATTAAATGATCAACTGTTTGCTCTTTGTTTTTATCTAAAGTAATATGTTCGTTTAAGCCTTTTTGTTCCAATCAACAAGCAACATTACAATTCTATTCTTGTTTAAGACAAAATCTTATTTTTCTTGTGTTTTCTATTCTTTTTTCATCTCAATTTTTAAATCTCTTTCTGTTTTTCGCTCTCTCATTTTCGTCCGATGTGAACATTTCGAAACCAGTGCCTGAAATCAAACTCACCTTACAAAAATTTCCGATAAAATAATTTGGTTCCTGGACCCGAATCTATAATTTTTATACGAATTTGGATTCTTGGATTTTCCTTTTCTCTTGATCACTTTTCTGGTTTTTGGTTACAATTTATAATGATGATATTTGGCTCTTCCATTCTAATGATTACTTGATTGGTTTTAATAATCATTATGATGAATCCTCTTTTTCTTTGATTATGCTGAACGTTAAATTACCAATTCATCAACTTAATTGAAGATCTTTCTTCTCTTCTGTTGATCTACATCCTTATTTTTTTCTCTTCTCTTCCATTACAACTTCTTCTCCTTGGACATTCCTCCTCCTCTTCTTGCCTCTTTTCCCACCACCACCATCATCATCACCAGAAGATCAGCAACAGCAAACAACATCATCTTTTATAATTGTGTCAATCTTTATTCTTTTACATCATTTATCCTCTTGCCTTGTTCTTCTTTTAATAACTTGTGTTTCAATCATATTTGCCTCTCTCACTTTTTCCTCTTCTTTCCCTTCATCATCATCGCCTGGAAAAGTAGTAATAATATTGTAATCAACATCATCAATTTTCTTCTCTCTCTCTCTCTCTCTCTCTCTCTCTCTCTCTTCTCTTTCAATTTAGCCTTACCTTTCCTTTCAACATTCTGTGTGTAAATATATATTTTTCTCACTCTATTATTGTGCCTGGAATCAAGTTGTAGATAATATTGTTGATAGAGATAATGGAGAGGATTTAGAAGCAAAAGAGAAGAGAAAAAAAGACACATATACACAGTGAGAGAGAGAGAGAGAGAGAGAAGAGAAGAGAAAAAAACGAGAAATAAAAATGAGAAGATGAGATCTTTATGAATGCTTGATGAAGAGAGAAAAATCATTTTCTTTTCCTCATTGAGGGAACTTGTGAATTCTGTAACCACACTTTTCTTCCTTTTCTTCTTTTTCTTCTTCTGCCATTATCACCTGTCAATCATCTTAATCATCATCACCATTTTACTTATACAATGTTCGGTGTCCCTGGAGCTAAAGGAGTTGTCTCATCACCTCCACAACCATGGATAAGATTTAATGATTCACCTACACCATTGGAAAGTCCATTAGCCCATCAACCACCTCTTTCCCATCAATATAATCAATCATCATATCATCAACAACAAACACAACAACAACAACAACAACAATCACAACCACAATCCAAAGTATCATCATTATCACCTCCACTTTCTGATAATTTTTCACCCAATGAGAATATTAATCTTTCCAATGGAATACAATTAGCTAATTTTGATTTTAATGCTGCTTCCATTGAAAAAGATCCTAAAATATTACATCCAGTTGCTCTTCGTGTCTCACCTGATGGACAATTGATTACATATGATCCCTCGGTTAACAACAGTGGCAGCAACAGTAGCAGCAGCAGCAGTAGTAATGGTAACCATTTTAATACCACCAACGGTAGTGGTACCAGTGTAAATAGCTCTTGTAGCATCGGTGGTAGTAATAGTAGTATAATTAACAATTGTGGTCCATCCTCATCAATATTTCTTAAAAGCCTTCCGTCAACAACCTGTCAACATCATTCAGCTCAACAGCAACAACAAGAATCTTCAACCAGGTAAACCTTTAATTACAATAATCTGATATTATTGTTCCACTTGATTAACTTTTAGATTGAGTTGAGTTTTAAGTAGGATATTCTGTTACGATTGTTTAACTAATTGTTTCACTTTTTGAACCCATTAATTATACCAATTATTGGTTATTAGTATTTAGGTTTATTGTAATCGATACTTATATCCAATTCATAAATCATTCATTCAATTTATCAATCTTGTTTCAATCTAAAAGTTAATCACTTTTACCTAATACTTAATATCTAGATTAGTTCATTTACAACCACCTGTTTAAAATCATTCATACAATTAATGATAATCAATGAAGAAGATTAAATTAACCCAGAGATGCGATGCTAATCAATTCCCTCTAATTTAAACGATATAATTTCCTAAGACGGTCATCTGATTAGATATCGAAATTTATTATTACCTGATTATCATTACCTGTGCGAATGATTTAAACAAGTGGTTGCAAAGTCTTTGGTTTTAAATACGTTTCCAAATGATAAAACAAATGTTTGCATGTTATTGACTCTCTTTCTCTCATTCTCTCTCTCATTTTAATTACAGTTTGATCCAATCAACGGCAAGCCAATCATTCCAACCGTTAAGCGGTAAAAAGGATCTCCTTCTTGCACCTCCGCCACCGCCACGACCTCACCGAAGACCTGGACATGCTCGAAGCTCATCACTTGATCTCAATTGTTTGGAGAAAAGTTTACCCTCTATCAGCGGCAATCAAGGCCGTAAATTAATTACCAATTGTCTCTCAAATTTACCTTCTAATAACGCTCTTGGTTGGTGTTTGTTTATGTTTGAAAATTTTCTTTCTCTCGATAGATAATTGTTACATCACAAGTCAGCTACTTCTCATATCCAAACACTTAGAAATCATCATAGACAATGTTAATTTGCTATTGTCTATGATATTTGTCTCCTTATTATCTTACCTTTTTTTTTCAAATACTCCGATAGATTTGATCTTTTTTTTTTACCTGACAATTGTTTTCTGCACAATAGAGAGACAATATTAGATTTACCTGACAATTGTCTTTTGCTACCTCAACAATCAGAGTTACACGAACACACAATCAGATGATAATAATTAGAGATAATTCTATTTATCACTTTTATGGTGTTTCTTTTATTAATACTTTATGTGTTTCCAAGTGTATTCACTGTGTTGTATTCTTGGTATTGACCTTGCCTGAACACAATGAATACCCTGTGAAAACATGTTGAAACTATCATGTTGAGGAAGTTGAAAACTAAGCACACACACAACGAATAACAATCCAAGCTTAATTATATCATTTTCTTATGTAATCAGAAGTCTATTTAATACAAACACGAAGGTTAATCAAAGTTGATTCCAAGAAAGTTCTCCCCCTTCAAAGTAATCTTTAAATCATCGTAATTGACTAACCTTAATTTTCTACTATCAGTGTCTTATTATCATCCCTTTAAACACAATCCTCTTAATTGTTTACACTGATTGTAATTGTTTCCTTTTTTACTTTTCAATCTATTTAAAGGACTGACCAATTTACCTCCAGGAGTTGACAGGAAAGGAGCATTCACCGTCTATCGGAAAACTCAGAAAGATCATTCATCAACAATTAGGGAATCAACATCGCCATCAACCAAAGGAAGCAATAAATGGTTGGAAATTTTAAAAGCTAAATATCATCCACCTAAACCTGTTCAAATGCCAAGGTATAATTAGCTGATTAAAATTGTAATTGTCATACTACTTTCACCATAACTTACAGCAAAAATCTAACCCAATTAACCTTAAGTGCTCGTTTTTTTCTCATGTCATTTATGTTAAATGATATAATCTCATCTCTAAATAATCAATGAATCATTCATAGTATCTAATTTAAATTGAACAGAAGGAAAAGTTCATTGATTGATGATGATCATTTTATTAGTCGTATATTATGTTTCTTATCTAGATTAGTAAATTGATTTTACTAATCATTGCAAAGTTATAATGTAGTTATGGATAAATTATACGACTCTCTCTCTCTCTCTCTCTCTCCTTCCTTCATAAATTTAATCATATTATTATCTCTTCTGATGAATTTTCTCCCTTCTAATCGATTCGTTGCATGATGAACTTTTTTAACTTTCATGTTGATTCTTGATTCTCTTGATTCTGTATTTTGGTGATCATTTCACAAGATTAACTCGTTAATCTTTTCCCTATTTCTTTAATCATGATGATGAATAATCTACTTTCCATTGTCTCTCTTTATCCCAGATCACATACAACATGAATTCTAAAAAAAACCAGACCAATAATCATTAGAATTCATTGATGAGAAATAGAATCGATGTCAATATATCAATCGATCTATTATTTAGACACGAACATGATTAAGATGATGATGAAGAGCATTCTAATCAAATAAGGAGATAAATCAGCAACATGGACAATCAAGTCATCTTTACCATCACTATCTTTTATTGTGATTAATTTTCCAATCATCACAATTCAAATTGATCGATAGCTACTAACAATCACTCGTCACATAATCAATTTTATTTATTAATATTTCTCAAGGTTAATCACTTGTCACTTTTTCTTCAGGCTATTTAATGTTGTAATCACATTTTCTCCATCTTCATCATCATCATCATCATGTCATCTTAAACAGTTTTTTACTTCCATCATATTTGAACGTAACAATCAACGAGCAATCTTAATTTCCTGCTACAGGAAATTAAACTATATTACATTAGTATTTCTAGAGCCTAAACTAATTTAAATGTTACGTAAATTTAATCAACCCTTTAACCAGAACAACCCTTACAATCAGTTGATCGTTATCACCACAACCATAACAATCCAACTAACACAATTTACTAATCACTTTCACTTAATTGCTTTGAAACACACACACACACAAAAACTTTCAGTTGACACTAAAACAATAACATTAAAAATATACAATAATGTTGTGCATGATAACCCAAGCCTGACAACAATCAATGAATCATATTATTATTATTTTCTCTTGACACATTGACAATCAACCACAATCATTGTAAATTTAACTAATAATATTTTTCTCTCTCTCAATCTTTATTTTCAGAAGTATTTATGACTTTTTTCAGAACAAGGAATTGGTTGATTATATTCAGGATCTTCAGGAACGTTGCTATCGCCTGGAAACCATGAACAATGAACTTATCCACAAAATGGCCAATCTGATGGAGGATCAATCATATTTTCATCATTCTCATCATTCAAATCATCATGTTGATTACAAAAGATTATCTAAGTGATATAATTAACAATTAGTATACATCCAAAGTCGTTGAGCTTACAATCACCTGTTTAAATCATTCTCACAGTTAATAAGAGTAAAAAGTTAACTCAGAGATGTGATAATAATCAATCTCATTTAAACGATGTAATCAATTAAGATGATCATTTAATTAGTAATCAAAAGCTACCTGATTATTTCCTGGACGAAAGATTGAAACAATTTGGTCGCAAGCTCAAAGTCTTTGGCTTTATAAATGTGAATGAAGTAAACAAAATCAGAAAAAAAAGAGAAGACAAATTATTATTATATTACCAAATTAAAATTATATTATTAATCTAAATTACCCTGAACAATTATAAGAATTCACAATCAGGCAACTATGTTTATTATTAATCTAATTGTGATTTCCTCCTTTCTATCTCTCACTATCTCGCTGTCTCTTTGTAAATCCCTCAAATTGATTTAACAATTAACTTCATCAAATCTGAGGATAGGTGATAATCAAACATATTATGAGTCAATCTTATAACACAATTTACATTAATTACAATCAACTTATAGTCCTTTTCAACAGATGAAATATGATTCAATCTAAAAAGCCAAGTAAATTGTAATTATTGCAAATGCTACGATATATTATTATGAAAGACAAAAAGTGTAATTAAAAAGATGATAATTTATATTCACAATTAACATTTTTATTTGAATTTAAAAATTTGGTATCTTTGTTTTCGTGAGTTTATCAAATATTTAACAGTTTCAACACGTTACAAATGAACCACTTTGGTTAATTAGAATGATGAATGATTAGAAAGTATCAATTTTAATTGTTGAAGTAATTGATTAACTATACAACCAAAGACTTGGAGTTTACAACCACTTGGTTTGAATCATTCGTATAGTTAATAATCAGGTAACTTTTGATTTCTAATTAGATGATCATCTCGATCTTAATTATCATTAACTGCGAGAATGAGGCAATTATTTGGTAGTAAATTCAAATTGTCTTTGGTTTTTTGATGAGTGCTGATTGTTTGAATGATTAGAAAGAGAAACGTAAATTGTTAACATTTTTGTTTGTTGGGCACATTTACTATGGAGATTTTTTCTGTTCAGTTCATAATCAGGATTATTTTGGTTCTGTTGACGAGCTTGATTGTGAGGTGGTTGACAATTTGAGGACAAATATTAAGGCATTTGGTCGGGTTATGTCGGTTACGACGATTTCTTGACCTTCGATCATTTCCAATTCTTTCAACGTTTTCTTTAAATTGGGTCGAGTTGCTTCTTCAATTGATGGAATTGATTGAATATAAAGTGTCCGATTTTTTCCATTGATCATTGTGGTCAATCCTGGAGCTTTCATTGAATATTTATCATCACTAATGAACAGATCAATTATCTCTTGTAATTTAGTCTCAATTGTAAATTTCAATTCTTGTGGGACGCGAGAACAGGTTAGACAGTTGGGATTTCGTTCTGCTTCATAAGTATAAGTGTAAATACTGTCGACATCATTAAAAACCATGTAATTATTCATGGGAGTACAACAACTTGTTGTCAATTTGAAAACCTCAGTGGTACAAACGGCGGCGATAATGGCATTGGTTGAAGCAACAGCGGGCATGATTCTTTTAACTACTCCTTGAGTTAACCGGTAAGTAACTCCTGGAATGTTGAACTGATTGGCTCTTTCAGCTGATCTCTCATAAATCCATTGAATGTGACTAACATCATCACCATCGATTGCTACATCCCCAAAGGGCTTTTCTCGTGCCCATTGTAAGACTCTTACATATTCAATACAATGCTCAGGTAGCCTCGGAGTATTGGCTATGGTGCAAAGAGGATAATTAATCTGCGGCGGGAACAGATCAAGGGTACACTCGATACACGCGGTCATTCCGGGTATGATAACACGAGCATTTCCTTTGAATCCTTCAGATCCTCCATCAACAAGAGGTATGATTGAGCTTTGGTCTGCAAAGAAAAAGTAAAGAGCACAAATATTATTAAATTAACAGGCAGTTGAGTCTAAATCAATCACCGAATGCAAAAAACTCCTCTTACCTAAAACACCATCTTCATAATTGAGGAGACTACAAATCATACCGTTGATCCATCGACGAGCAACAATTGAATCGAGCCCTAAAACTATAACATGAAAATCACGATAAAAATCAGGATCAAGATCTTGGATTTTACAAAAATAAGGTTTCACTTGAACACCGGGAATCCTTTCGTTGATGAGCTTTGCCGCTGTTTCAGATTTGGAACAACCAATATCTTTCTCACGGAATAAAAATTGTCTGTTTAGATTGGAAAGCTCAATTGTGTCCATATCGATGATTGAAATATTCATGAATCCCATCAAAGCTAAATCCTTGAGTAGTTCACAACCTAAACCACCACAGCCAACAATCAAAATTTTACACGATTCAAGAATAAATTTAAGCGCTTCCGAACCAGGTTCATAGTCACTCTGACAAAATGGACCATTGCGACCAAGAATTTTCCTCAGGTGAGTCCATCGATTACCAACATCAATCGACATGATGATCAAGTGTAAAGAGAGAGCAAAAGAAACAAACAATTCAGTTAATTAGTAGAAAGAAAGTTGACATTCACCGGTTAATTAAAGAAAGAAAAACCAAACAATTAGAAAATGAATGCAACCTGATGATTGATTTTCGTTACCAAGACAACGAAACAAATGTTTCCAATCAAAGGGATCGTTTCCTAAGTTCGAAAAGCAAAATGGTGAATCAAATGATTCTTTTAGCGATTATTCAATTCGAATGTCCATAAAGTCCATTTCTTGGAATTTCGAGAGTAAAAGTATTTCGATAATAAGAATCATCTCAAGGTAGACAGAATTTTAATAATCTAAGAGATCAGAATAGTCGGTGGTTCAATTCCAATATCGAACAACAGAAAAAGATGAAAGTTCCATTGACCTAACGTAACCTTTCAAATTCTCATACGATTCTGAAGATTTCGATAGTTATCAGCATGATGATTCTCATGAAGATGAAGATGGTAAATCCTTCTTTCTCTTCATCTTTTTACCTGAAGTTTGGATCAATTTTTTGCTTTTTTCATCTTTATCTCAATATAATACATCTTAATTAGATCACATTTTCTTAATCATTTTACCATCAGCATCAATACCATCCAGCGATTTAATCATCAATGTATCTCGATCGACTTTGATCTCATCTTGATCATCATTTATCATCAACCAAATGATTACTCTATTGATTGTCCGATACTCTCACAATACAATCAATGATCATCTCATCTTAATCAATTCTCAATGTTTATCACTCTCATTTGTATCAACCTAATTTAGTACAACAAATCAATTGGTCCAGTTAATCAAATAAAATCATTTCCTTTCCCCTTTCAAATTTAATCATTTATTATACAATTTAATTCATAATCATTTCTTACCTTTAATCAATTTAACATTCAAATGATAACAATAGAATCACAATTAGTAATTCAGTCTAATTTGATAACCACCAAAGTTTTCATTCAATAATTAAATAACAGAAATAAGTTTTAATTATATCAACAATTTAATTAAGATAAATTAAACAGCAAGTTGAAACAAAAGGCAAAAAAACTTAATTGTTACCATTTTTGATTACAATTAGTTATTATAATACATTTGAAGATTAATTAAAATGCAAATATATATAAATAATTTTAAACCATTTAATTTAATTCAAATTACAATTGCAAACGATTAGTTAATCATTATTAATTGTTGAATAATTTGACTTTTTCTATTGCAATTGAATTAGTATCAATTTGCTAATCAATCATTGAGCATTAAATTGTTTGCTGTTGTTGCCTGTAAAAAAAACGGAAGCGGAAAAGGAATTGATGAATTTCATTCTAATCCCAATATACTAATATTTCAATTATAATAATATAATTAAAGTAATCAAATCAAATTTAACCGTGAAATTAATCATTTTGGTGATTTAATAACAGCAAGAAACAAAAAAGTAAACAATATTATGATACAATTTGGTTGGAAGGAGTAAAATAAAACAATTAATCAAAACTTTCTCTCATCATCAATTTAATTCAGTTGTCTGATTGTTGTAAAATCTCAATCAATTACAATAATACTTATAACTCTTACATCATTTGTTTCGTAAAGTTTCAATTCGATACTTGGACTGATTAGAGTTTAAGAACTTTTGAAAAGTTCTAAGGTCATCGGTGAGATCAATTTCTCTGGGAATTCATTTAGAGGTCAATTCTCCGAGCAATGACCTTGAACTCTTTTTTCTGAAGACCTTCAATTCTCAATAGTAACTGTACGAAGTTTGCACTTAATAGCTTGATTACTTGTCGAGTTATTTGACGTGTGTAAAAAGTAATTGTACATCCCAATGTTAGTTGACCAATGGGCAAGATTAGTCGAGTTTAATTGTTTAGTTAATTGTTGACAGTTTAGAAAAATGTTTCTCGTGATACAACTTTAGATAAATTGTTTCCTCTGATTACTTGGCTTCCATTCATTTTCAATGAATGATTATTGTTGTTTCCATTTAGATAATTGGTTTTGTTATTATTATTATTATTTCCTGGGGCATTATTGGTGTTCAGGGTGTGGTTAACGGTGTGAGCTGATGCCCGTCTTTTGGTAAAAAGATGAGAACTGTAGACACAAGGATTTATCACAGAATTGAGGACTGCAAAGCAAAATAGTACGTCCATTATAAGACTATTTGTTGACCGATAGGAATCAGGGTTGAACTGGAACCAAAGGACAACAAAAGTATAAGGTGTCCAGCAACAGACAAAGGCCAATGCTACGATTGAGGTTATCCTAAGAGTCCGTTTTTCTGCTCGCTGGTAAACATTGATTCGTTGTTCACCATCGTTATTGGTTCGTGTTGAACCATCCGAGACCATTTCCATGGTAATATCTGATTTCCATGAAAGAACAAAAAGAAAATTAATAACTCAGACCACAGTTAAATTCATTTCAATTACACTCATCACGAATGTATTAGAACTTTTTTTATCTCTTTTTTTCAATCTAATTGGATAAAAAGAAAATTATTCAACTAATTATACTCACTGACTTCTCGTTGTGAACTAAGAGCAGCGATGATGCGAATGTAACAGAAAAGGGTAACAAAAAAAGGCACAAAATACATAATACATAAGGTGAATATCTGGTAAACTGTTTCCTTCCATTCGGTGTCAAAATAACCACGAGAAAGGCATTGGGCGAATGCTGGATAATCAGGGTGCCTTCCGATGTGAAATATAAATGCCTTGAGGGGATTAGAAGAAATAAAGAAAACGTTTCAAAATTCAATAGAAATTACATGAGAAATGACATTGTAAACATTGAGATTCTTTAAGTGTAAGAGAAAACTTTTCTTCATTATCCCTGAAGATCAGAAATTCATTCATTTAATTAAAACTCATCATCATTACCTAAGTGAATGAAGATTAAATCTCATGTGGGAATTTAATCTTCATCTAAAAAAGATAACATTGTCTTTAGCTGTTCCTCATCTTAATGATTAATGGCCAGCCTTTTGTAAAACTATCGCCATGATGAAATATTTCAAGCATCACCTTTGAGATATAAGTAGTGACTTTCATAAGATAATAATCATTTAAATGACTGATAATCTAATGATAAACAACAATAAACAACCAAGTAGTTGATTAATAAACCATAGTATTGTTTATACAGGGATATTCAGCTATTTTCATCATGTTTTTTTTTTCAATTTTCTCGGTAACTGTAAGTCCTAGAGATATGAGACTTTGCTGGTATGAACTTGAGCGATAACTAATGGTCAAGCCACTCGTACGTGATTTCTTAAAGGCACAATTGACTTTAAATTCAAGACCTAATCTGAAAAAAAACGATTAAAATGATGAAATGCTCTTCAAATGTCCTTCAAATATGTTAGCTCACCAATCTCAAATGAACTTGGTCCTTCAGTTCACTTCAGTCTCTAGGAATCATAACAGTTACAAAGAAAATCGTAAAGAGCAATGGCGAAAATAGTCGAATACCCCTGTATTTGTCCGATTCAGTTGACAATCATGAAAGTGATTATATCTCCATGTTCTTATCCTCATCATATTCATTGTTCATCATGCTTTCTAATGTTTATACTATTAAATATATATTGACTTTACCCTTAAGCAAATGAGAGTGATAAACTTTGTCATCTCTTTTTTATCATCAAATACATGTGAATGTAAATGAATGTACATACACATGTATATTCATTATCCTCATAGAAAACAATCAGTCTCATGTAAATGAGCACAATCAATTGAATTGTCAGAATTAAAGACAAATACAACTTAAGGAAATTGGAAAGGAAAGAAAAAATTAGAAACAATTTATCATATATTTGTGAACAATGTTTCTATCTCAATTGAAACTATTGTTAATTAACCACAATCGATTAATTTAATGGGTTATAATCAATGTGAATAGTTAAAAACAATTCCATGATTAGTTTTTCCAAATCTAATTGTGATTATAATCTAGTGAGTTAAGAGTTTCCTGATTTTTATCTTTGTATTATTAATATTTTGATAACTTGGAATCAGGAAATTAACAGGAAAACCAATCTAAACGAAAGAAGTTAATCTTAATTATAACTAGAATGTTTAATAATCAAGAGAATAGGAATTTAATTCAGTTCAAATTCATTCAATGATAATGTTAATCTTTTACTCTTTTAAATTATCACCAATCGAAAAGTTATTAATATTAATGTATTCCAATACTTTCATGATGAAAAATAAGATTTTCAAAATTAGAATTCATTACCTCCGGATTTAAGCTTCAAGTAGCATATAAATATTATTTGATAGCCATTGATCAGTTATGATAATCTCTGTTGATATTAAATTATTATTATTCTAATGAAAGTGGTTGAGGCAAAAAAAGAGGAAAGTTACAATTCTGTATTTGGATGATTAGAAATAATTGGATTACAATTTCAGGCTTCAATTGGTAACAATTTAATACAGGATATAAATACACCTAATAGTTAATGAAGACATCATGAGCTATTAAATTATCACCCTTATGTCTGGCTGAGAATTAATTAAAACAAATTTAGAAATTGGTAAATTGTGATTGAATAACATGAAGGTCACCTTTCAATGAGAATGAAATTTGTTGAAGGGCTGATCATATGTACTTTGATAAAGGATTTAGTAAAGTTTGTGAGTGAAAAAGAAAGAGAAAAAGAAAGAGAAAAGAAAGAGATGGTGTCTTGCTTTGTGTACTTTTATATTCTACTATCTCTGATTCTTGAGTGCTAGAAACTTTAGTAAGGTTATTTTCTGAATTATTCACTTAGTCCTCGTGAAAATTTGAAAAATTGTCAATAACTAACAACGAATCTATTTGATAGTAACTTTTATGGTTCCAGAATGTTATTATTGCAACTGACATTGAACTTTGGATAATATTGATCATGAAAGCTATTCAGTTGCTTTTCATGAGTATATATATCTCAGAATAACTTTTTTTCTCATTACAAATCATAAACAATGTACATACTTATGAATACATACAGTTTGATCCTTATCGATAGTAATATAAAACTCTCATGGTTACCATGAAATTCAAAAATATCATCAACTCATCCAATTATCATTCTGTAACTCTCTATCTTAAATTGTTGATCAAATCAAGTTTGAAAACTCAAGTCATGAACTTTTTCCCCTGAACAAAACTAATGGTTGATATAAACTCTCATCTAAATTGTATGATTTTTACATGTAATCAATTGTTGATTTAAAAATCATGTTAATATTTGATTGCGTTGTCTGGTAATCATCGTTAACATGATTACCAATACATGAACAATTTATAAACAATTTCCAATTGAATTCATCTAATTGATTAATAAGGTTGAGTGTTAATTGTTGATCAGTTGTTTCTTGATTGTACTTGTTGATTAACATTAACAAGTTACTTTCAAGATATTCATGCATTGGAATCATTCAGAGTGTCAACACTGATGAATTAAACATTTTATTCATCTACAGAATGGATAAGAGCCCTTGGAATTAATTTCCACCCTGTATTGTTCCCAATCTATCCAATTGATGTATTTACTTTTAATATTTGTACTATTAACAAATTAAGAAAAGTTTAATTATCTTCAATGATAAAAAAGTTCTAAATGTTTTTTTCATATGCAAATCATTTACTAGTATTTTTCGTACTAGACGATTAACTAATTAACTTTAAATTTAATTAATTCAACTGATGGCATGATAACTATTTTTGTCAACATGATGATGATCATTTGTCTTGTTGATAATTAATTGATTTGTATGGATTTTTTAGCCAGAAAAAAGTAACCTCAAGGCTTAATGGTAAAAGAAAAGCTCATGTATTGGATAACTGAATGATGTTCATGGTGTTCATGACAATGAAAATGATGATAATGATACTTGAGAAACTGAATGTTTGAAAGTTAATCAGTTGAAAATATAATTGATCCACCATGAGATAAGGTTATAAGCTTTTGTATTATATTCTGGACTATGGTCACTCTCAGAATTTCATCAACTTCACCTTGAGAAGAAGTTTTTTGTTTCATTTTCACCAATGGAACATTTTCTGGAGCAAATTGATCATCACTCTGTCTTTTTTCATTGTTATACTCGAAATTTAATCAAAACCTTCACCAGAATAAGGGACGAAAATCTTGACCATTACGATCAGTGACTTTAAATGGTTCCAAGGTTTGACCCAGATTATCTGATTCAAAGAAATGGATCACCAAAATTTTTGTTACTAATTCTTATTCCCTTGTTAATCTAATGAATTACAGGGTGGATAATATTTAATAAAAGCAACACTCTGCTGATAAGTTAGCCAGAATTTTTCATTAGCTCTTATTGAGAAAACTTGACCAGCCGATTAGGTTTCATCAAGAGATTCAAAGGATTTAATACTTTTTACTTTGTGATTGAAAAGAGTAGGAAGTTAACATTCTCATAAAGGATAAGCAATCTAAAGGTAATTTAATCAGAAATCATCATCATGAAAAATGAACAAAGCGAAAAAGTTGAATGAAAACTATTTCAATGGCTCATCATTCACCATTTTTATTCTGATTAAAAACTTTCTAATATTACATAAGTTTCATGTTCTGATCGAAATCTGATCAACATGAATTAGCAAAGGAAAAATAGACTCACCAAGGTGAAAGAAAGTCATAAATAAATAAACAGAAAATGAGACCTTCCCTGTTTATCTGATTGATATTCATTTTCATGAACAATTGAACTTGAAAACTATATATTTCATTATGAAAATAATCATCAATTATGTTTTTCATTTCTTTTTCCCTGTTGTATCATGATAAATCAAATTTTATACCCAGTGTGTGTGTTATAAGTTAATCCTTGCAGTTAGTTAATAACAATCGTTATTTTTGTCCTTTGAGTGTTAATCCTTTAGTAACATGGATGATTATACCTTATGTGTCCATCTTTTACACAGAAAAACTGACGAATTGATTTCCTGAAATCTTGAAAAAATGTGATCTTTATTATTAATGCTCAAGGTGGATCGATTTGACTTCACTACAGGTAAGATGCAAATTCTTTTTTGTTAAATTTCCACTTTCTTCAGGGTTAGCAATAGGGCAATGTTGAAAACTTTTAGTTTTATCTCCCACGGCATCTCATTAGCTAGGACTAATCAAACACTGAGCTTGGAAATACTGATTCCTGACCATGGAAATTGATTTTTAAACCATGTTAACGCTAGACTAACATGGAGAACAAATATGAAACACGTTCATTTGACCGTTTATTGTTGTGACTGTTGTTTTTTTATGATCGGTTGGCTAAAAAATTAATTGAAAATTAGTGGTAAAAACGAAAAAGCAGGGGAAAAGACCTCAGGAACAATTTCCTAATTAAATTAATATTGAATTGATTTGACTTCAACTTGATTTGAACCCAAAATCAAAGAATCGGGAATCAACTAATCGAGATTGGTGAAACAACTTTTTAGTCTAAACTCGGAATCGGTCTGATCTCAGAATTAGTTGATCACTGTTTTTAATTACGGTTGGTGAATATGGGCCTAAGACATTGAAAAGAATAGACAAGAATCACTATGGTTTGAGATATTACGAAGAAAAAAGCTCACCTTTTTTAGTGGGATGGTAAATATATTAGATTGCACAATTTTTCTATAACTCTGATGGGTACCTTTTTGCCAAACACCACTAACAGTAGTTCCTCTAGCCTCCTCCTAGCA